TAAACCTATTTTTCTTGTTCTCCAAAAGCAAAATATTTCCTGTTGCACACACCAAACAAGTCAATCCAAGAAGACTAATGAGGCAATCGGCTGCTAACATGTTTGCTGCTAGTATTAGTGGAGAGAAATGGTGCGCCTGCACGTAAGGTGCGTAAGGGAAATGAATGCAACAAGATTATAGTAATCAGTCATTAGTGAATGTTGTAGTTCGTTATTAATTATGTATAGCAAGATATTGTAAAAATTAAGTTACAAAATTTTTATTAAAATGTTTCTTACATGCTGTTATGTTGGCTGGGCTGCAAAAATATTTGTTGTGGGCTGCATGCAGCCCGCGGGCCAAGAGTTTGACATGCTTGGTGTAGACTGGGGACCAGCACTGTCTGCCAGCAGACAAGCCATTAGTAGAATCCAGTTCATATCCAGAAAGCTCGCTGTAAGAGAGCCTGGGAAATGTGATAATTTGAAGGCTTCTGCAATGTATGAAATCGCATAAAAAGGAGGTTGGAATGGATCTTGAGTGCCATGCCCACCCACCAGACTTGGTATGTCCAAAATCTACCATGTATAAAATATAAAATTATTGATTCCTCCACACCTTCACAAAAGCTGTGCATTACCACTCTTCATGTCTACGGACTTGATATAACATCTCATTGATTTAGTTTTGCATTTCTTTAATTACGAATCAGATTGAAAATCTTTAGATTTGCTTGTTAGCCGTTTTTATTTTTTTCCTATATTTATCTGTATTCGTTAGCTACTACCCCCAAAACTCAGTGGCTGAAAGCAACAGCTGTTAATTATTTCTCAGAGTCTACAGACCAGCTGGGTAGTTTTTCTGATCCTAGCCAAGCTCTGCCAGTAGCTAGGCTCACTCATGCGTCTGCAGTCAGCTTGTGGATCGCTGGAGCTGGCTGGCTTGGGATGGAGTTGGCTGTGCCTACCCTCTGTGGTCTCTTCCTCTGTTAGGCTGACCTAGGCTTATTTTCATGAATGTGGCAGGGGAACGAGAAAGA